ACTAGAAATGAACTATAAATGAACTATAAATGAACTAGAAGTGAACTAGAAATGAACTAGAACTGAAATAGAACTGAACTAGAACTGAACTAAAACTGAACTTAACTAGAACTGAACTAGAATTGAACTAGAACTGAACTAAAACTGAACTAGAACTGAACTATAACTGACTAGAAATGAACTAGAAATGAACTAGAAATGATCTAGAACTGAACTAGAACTAATCTAGAACTGAACCAGAACTGAACTAGAACTGAAATAGAACTGAACTAGGACTGGACTAGAACTAAACTAGAACTGAACTATAACTGAAACTAGAACTGAACTAGAAACTGAACTAGAATTGAACTAGAACTGAACTAAAACCGAACTAGAACTGAACTAGAAGTAAACTAGAACTGAACTAGAATTGAACGCGAACTGAGCTGGAACTGAACGCGAACTGAGCTGGAACTGAACTAGAACTGAAATAAAACTGAAACTAGAACTGAACTAGAACTGAACTATAACTGAACTATAACTGAACTAGAACTGAACTAGAACTGAACTATAACTGAACTATAACTGAACTATAACTGAACTAGAACTGAACTAGAACTGAAATAGAACTCAACTAGAACTAATCTAGAACTGAACTAGAACTGAACTAGAATTGAACTAGAAATGAACTAGATCTGAACTAGAACTGAACTAAAACTGAACTGAATTAGTTATTAAATTAAAAACTAAGTAAAACTGAACTTAAACTAAACTAAAATTGAAGTAGAACTGATGTAGGACAGGGCCCAATTTACGGCATACGATATCGATCGAAATCTCAAAAGAATCTAAGTGGAGATTTCGATCGATATCGTATGCCATAATTTGAGCCATGAGCTAGACCTGAAATACAATTAAACTAGAACTGAACTTGATCTGTAAGAAACTGGACTAAAATAAAACTAAATTAGAACAAATGTGGAAATGTGTGAACTAGATTTATACTAGAACTGAACTCAATCTGAATTGGAACTGAAATTAAGTAAAAGTTTTGCATAGAACCAAACTTCTTAAGTATTTGCTTAATTTTTGAAAAATTACCTTTCACATAATCATAATTTATTTTCAGAGGATGTCTTAAACACTAAAGACCTTCTAATGGTTGTAATACAACGATATAAAGAACTTTTCGAAAATGAATTGCAATTAACAAAACCCCTCGATGCTTTAACTGTAAAGACAACAACTGCAACTACCGTCAACACCGATTTACTCTCAGAACTACTGGGTGGCTCCATAAATACTTCCAGTCAAGATACCAAACCAACAATGACGACCAATAGCAGCAAACCTGCAAGTGCTAATAATACTACATTAGACGAATTAAGTGAAATTTTTGGCAGCATTAATGATAATACATTAACTAATAATAAACCGCATCATCCTTCGGATTTATTAGGCAATTTAGATTTATTAGAACCCATTAGTGTATTTGAAAGTGGAACGAAGGAGTTAGCAGCCACAGCAGTTACGAATGGTAAGGGAGAGGAGAAAAAATCGCAGGGTTTTAAGGAATTAAAAGAAATTGATAAATTAAGTGAGGAAATGTTTAAGCAGAGTTTAAAGGAGGAACAACGCTTATTATCCTTCAAAAGTAAGTTTTTATTGTTTGTGACTTAAAAAATGTTAACTAATTTTGTTTAACAATTGCAGAGAAACTGAAAAATTAACTTTAAATGATATGGCTAAAGATAAAATACAAACATCACTACTCGCCGCTAAAGTGGCAGATAATAAAAGCAAATCTAATTTAAAAACTCAAGAAGATTATAAAACCATAGCAATTTTAGATGAATTAACGACTGATTTTAAGGACTTAAATGGAAAAGAAAATAAAGTGGAAAATTTGGAAATTAAAGAAAAAGTATTAGATGTTAAAGAGGAAATAGAGCCTAAGAGTAATACTGAAGTTACAAGTGCAGTAACTTTAAAACCATTAGCCGAGATTACAATAGATTTAGACGAGGTTACACCACTAGATGAGGGACAACGTTTACTTTTAGACGATGATGACATACAAGTCACACTCAATTTCACAGCTGATCGTCCAGGCGAACATGTATCGGTTATTGTTATGGCGGTGACAAATAAATCCAAATTGCCAGTTAAAGATTTTCAATTTGAAGCTAGTGTTAAGAAGGTAGAGAAATATTTAATGTGGTCACTATAATATTAATTAATTGTTTATGTTACAGCCCTGCAAAGTGCGTTTACTACCGCCCACAGATGTGGCCATGGCACCTAGTAAACCATTTAGACCTTCGGCTCCCATTAATCAAGTAGTTTTACTGCTTAATCCCACACAAAATCCAGTGGATCTAACTTGTATAGTGGGCTATAAATTGGGCGATGATCCAGATCCAATTAAAGAATCAATTGTGGCCAAAGACATTCCTTATGTTTAGTTTTTTTTTATTTTACAAAATACATAAAGTATATAAAATGCCACGCATTTCTTTAAATTATCTATGATGATGGTTGGAAATCTTTTATAATGATTTCTTGGTAAAAACTACTACGTTCTATTAACAGCATATTATTTTAGTAAGAGATATGAAATTATTCTTTAAAAAAAAAACGTCAATTCGTTATTTTTAATTTGTGCAACTTTGTCATTTTAAATTTTGTTTTATTTTTTGTTTTTAAACTTTATTTATTAAAAATTTTACACACTGAACAGAAACTATAAAAGAAATCAGCAGTTTTATTTGAATCTAAATGAAGGAATAACCTTTGGTCCGCTTGGGTTTGTTATAAACCGGTGAAAAAGTTTAGCAGCTTATATCTGATTTAATTAAATTATGTAAACAAAAACTTAATGATAAAATAATCTATAAAGTTCCATTTTATTAAAATGTAACAAATATTTTTCAAAAATTTCCATCTATAGTTGAAATATTAATGAAAATCTAAAAACCTTTTGCGGACAAAACTAACAATATTTGACCATTTTAAAGTAATGTTTGCAGGCCTATATCTCGAAAACTGAGCTACTGGCGTAAAATTTTCATCAATTTAATGTTCAAGTCTCTAACTATGTGTTTCATAAGACAACTTTGTAATAAGTAAATAAAAACTGTTCAAATAGCTATTTTTATTTAACGCCCACTTTTTCTATAGTGAAATGGGCGTGGCATTATTTTGTTTTTTATAAAACTATTCCTCATACTCTAAGCTATCCACAAGCCAAATTTAACTTAATTATCTGCAAAACTCCTTGAGATATTGAGCAAAAACGAAAAGTTATTTTCAACCACAAAAATGGAAAAATTGAAATTTCCAAAAATTTGTAAAACACCAGGTCCCCATAATTTGTTAGTAGGTGGATTTTTGCAGACCATTTTCTTTAAATGGCTATAACTCAAGAACTACTTAAGCTATTTGAATGAATGTTGATCCATATGATAGATTGGAAATTTGGCTACATAATGGGCAACCTTTGGCCCGCCTGGCTTTACGATTACATGACCAAAAATGCTAGTTAAAGTAAAAAAGCTTATAACTCTGTTTCTAATAGACATAATTAAGTATCTAATAGCTTGTGGAAATCCTGAATTCTCAATTTATCAATAAACCAAATTTTGTAGCAATATCTCTTAAATTAGCAGAGATATGCAGCTAAATCCCAAACCTTCTACATTCGGATTTGGCGATATTTTGCCACTTCAAGGTTAAGTTTCATCGCCTATAACTTAGAAACCGCTTGATATATTTTCATAAAACTTACTTCATATGAAAGCTAAGGAATTCAATTTTTACATGGTTGTGTTTGATCATTTCAAATTGAAATAGTTTTTGTTAAAATTAGGAATATTTAGTTTACGCCCATTTTTTCCACTTATTAGTGGGCGTGGCAACATTTTCTTTCCAAAACATTATTCCTTATTTAATTATCTACCTACCGGTCAAATTTTATTCCATTAGCTTCAAAGACCGCGGAGATATTAAGTAAAATCCAAAATTCCTCTTATACCTCAAAAATGGAAAAAATGAAATTTCCAAAAATTTGAAAAACACCAGGTCCCCATAATTTGTTAGTAGGTGGATTTTTGCAGACTATTTTCTTTAAATGGTTATAACTCAGGAACTACTTAAGCTATTTGAATGAATGTTGATCCATATGATAGATTGGAAATTTGGCTACATGATGGGCAACCTTTGGCCCGCCTGGCTTTACGATTACATGACCAAAAATGCTAGTTAAAGTAAAAAAGCTTATAACTCTGTTTCTAATAGACATAATTAAGTATTTAATAGCTTGTGGAAATCCCGAATTCTCAATTTACCAATAAACCAAATTTTGTAGCAATATCTCTCAAATTAGCAGAGATATGTAGCTAAACACCAAACCTTCTACATTCGGATTTGGCGATATTTTGCTACTTCAAGGTTAAGTTTTACCGCCTATATCTCAGTAACCGCTTGGTATATTTTCATAAAACTTGTTTCATATGAAAGCTAAGGAATTGAGCTTTTACATGGATGTGTTTTAGATTTTCAAATTGAATAGATCTCGGTAAAATTAACAATATTTACTTTACGCCCATTCCCCCCTACCCTTTTTTTCTTTAAATGTCTATAACTCAAGAACTACTTAAGATATCTTAATGAATGTTGGTCCATATGATAGATTGGAAATTTGGCTACATGAAAGGCAACCTTTGGCCCGTCTGGCTTTACGATTACATGGACAAAAACGCTACTAAGAGTTATGAAGCTTATAACTCTGTTAATGATGCAATTAAGTACAATTTTTGTATTTTGTGGAAGTCTTGTATATACTTACCCTTAACCTCACACATTTTTTAATAGAAATCTTTTTGATATTATTATTTGTGTGTGGTTTAATTAATTTTATTATTATTTCATATAAATAATGTAATTGGCTTATAATATTATATTGTTTTTGTTTTTCTTGTTTCCATTGTTTATAATTAAATGTAAAAATTACAAAAATCGGTTCATGTCCTTGATTTCTTCTTATTTTTTCTTTTTATATATAAAAAATTATTCATATAGAAAAGTCTTAATTAAGAGTTAAAAAAACAATTAAAAGAAAACAAAATTGAAAAAGAAATAAAATAAACTATAGTTCTTTTTTCGGTTACTAGCAGTAAAATTAAGCAAACAAAAACAAATTGAAGTATTTATGTTCCACCCAACTTATATCGATAACTTACGACCCACGAACGTACAAAATGCACCACACATCCACGGTGGTTTATTGAAGGCAGACCTACGTCTGGTACGGCCCCAATTGTCACGCCACGTTAATGCTTGATGTTATTCGGTAACAATTTCATCTTTAAAGGACAAAGCGGTAATAGCTTTAGTATGACCAGTGTATTTACGTTCGGGATTTTTTGTTTCTAGCTTCCAAAGACGAGCAATACCATCACTGGAGGCGGTAAAGAGGTATTTTGAATCAGCACTAAATGCCGCATCCCACACCCAATAGTTATCGATGGACAATTCACGCCACATAGTGAAATCATCTGTTTTCCATATGCGTGCCGTACCATCACCGGATGTGGTCACTAGAAGCCTAGAATCGGGACTAAATTTACAACGCAAAACGTAGCGTTTGTGAGCAGCTATTTTCAGTTTGGGATGTAAGGTGGTGAGTTTTTGATTTGGCGAGGAACTTAGCGACCAAATATAACAATTGCCTTTATTGTTAACGGCAGCCATATACTGACCATCGGGTGAAATGGCCACATCTTGTATGGAGGCATCCACTTCGGGTATTAACTGTTCGTGGACCTCGGACTTGACATCCCACAAATAGACACCACCATTTTGAGCACCCATGGCAATTTCCACCTGATTCGGATGCAAACAGGCGGCATTTACCGGTGCCTGACAATCAAACACCCGTGAACAATGTGGTGAGGCGGACAACATATCCCATATGCGTACACGATGATCTTCGCCAGCGGTAACATCCAATTGCCATCTTCTTGGAAACCCAAGCGTGTGACGTTCTTCTGAACACTTTCAAAGTTGATGACAGGCACATTAGTTGTGGATTCCAAATCATACAGACGTATGCACTGATACCCACAAGCCGCTAAACGGGTTTTGTCGGGAGTGCGATCCAGGGGCGTTAACTTGCTATTGGGGATCAAATCGAGACAAAAATTACTTATTAATGAACAATTATTAGGCTTTTTTCCAGCTATGTACTTACCGATGTCTCCACAAACGCAGCGTGCGTATACAATTGCCGGTATGTGCCTGCCATAATTTAATGGTGTGATCATAGCCACCAGTGGCTAATATTAATTGGTCACCTGTTGTTTCCATTACAAATGTGTGATTTGTTTTATTAATTTCCAATTTAAGTTAAAATTTCATTATTTTTTCCTTCGTTTCTTTTACAATACAAGTGTGTCTGTCCGTGGTCTGGTAGTATTTTGTTTTTTTCTTTTCTCTGCTAGGGAGCTGTCAATTTGGCAGTTTGCTCTTTTGGTATTCACAATAAATGTATTGCATCATTCACAGTAGTTAATATTCACAATTGCTGTAAAATAAAAAAG